AGAAAAAGACGAAGATAAGAAGAAGGACAAAAAAGATGATAAAAGAGATGAGAAAAAAGATGATAAGAGAAAAGATGACGACAAGAGATGTAATAGGAAAGATGAAAGAAAGGATGACAAACGAAGAGAAGGAAGCAAAGATAAAAAAGATGAAAAAGATGCAAAAAATAGAACAGATGACAGGGATCGGGAAAAAGAAAAAAATGATGATGATGATGATGATGAGGAAGATGAGTCTGATGTAATTATTTTTAAACATATTAAATATGTGTATGTATCTTATGTTTTCTATAAAAATTTATATAACGATTATATTTTATAGGATGATGATTCGATTAAGGATGGTAGAAGAGATAGGGAAAAAGATGGAAGGAAAAGGAAGATAAAATTGTATACACATGATCCTTATCTCTTACTATCTTTCGTTTATTTCGATCAAACTCATTGTGGTTATATATTTGACAAAGATATAGAAGAACTTATTTATACTTTAGGACTGAATTTATCAAGAGCTCAAGTTCGTAAGTTAGTACAAAAGGTTGTAACAAGGGATTCTTTGCATTATCGTAAATTAACAGACAGGTCGAGGGAAGATGACATAAAGGAGGAAAAGAAAGATGAAAAGGAAACTGATAAAACAGATTCTACTAAGGTAGACAGCGATGAAGAAATATTACGTTCATTAGCACTTGGTATATTTTAAATGTCATTTTAAGTTTTATCATATCCTAATAATTGATACATAACGTATTAATATTTTATTATTTTTGTACTTCAGGAAATAAAAAATTGTTACCTGTGTTCGTTGGAAGTGGACCACCATCAAAAAGAGCACGTAGGGAAGATGCGCTTATGGAACAGTCTGAAGAATCAATTGTATCAGAAGGTTTTGTTATGTATAAAGGTTCTTTGTTAGATGTAGAAAAACTTGTTAGCCAGTTACAAAGATCAGAAAAAGCTCGGTTGGATACGGAAGAACGTTTAATGGAATTACAGCATGAGTTGTGCGTAGTAAATGAAAAATCAACAAAACAGGCAAACAATATCAAAGTCCTTTCTGAAGATTTAAAAATATACAAAGACAAATTAAGAAATACGGATGAAAAGCTTAGAAAAGTGTCGGTGAGTGTATCACTTTTTAATTTGTTTTCTTCCTTTTTTTTTTTGTTCTTATAATGTAATATTTCAAAAATATACTTATATGATGTTTTTTCTGTGCAGTCGGAATGTCATACATACCTGACAGCAGTAAAAAATATGTATCATATAGCAGCAAAAATGATGCAGTCTGATACGAAAAAAGTGGAAGTTGTAGAAATTCAAGATGAAAAAATTGGCGAGGTTAATGGATCTGAGGTTGAAACTAAATTTAAAACGGACACAAGATGGGGTGATAACAAAGTTCCAATAAAAAAGGAATTCGCAGAAACGGATAAAGACAAGAAATGCGACAATAAAGTCTCAATTAAAAAAGAAATAACAGATTCTGACAAAGAAAAGAAATAAAACAAGATTAATTTCTTTATTTATCATAAAAGATGTGAACGCACTTTTGTCAAATTCTAACTGTATTAGTAACAAGGAAATTAAAAATGTGTTTAGTGATAAAAAGCACAGGAGGTGAATGGGGCAAGTTTACCCCATATGAAAGTAAAACTGACTTTGAAGACTCTGTTTTATAACTTTTTTCACTCAGTGACAATATGTAGTAAACCTGTTTCTGTGGATATTACTTTAGAAGTAAGGAAGATTACGCGTTCAAGTAATATAAAAATGAGTGATATGAAATAATACAAATATTAGAACGAATGATTAAACTGCAATTTTTCATATAAATTTGTTGAATTTTATGCAAACAGATAAAGTTCTTAGCGTTTGAAATACTAATGTAACTTTGATTTGCCATAAAGTGCCAGGTACTGGATAGACAGCTCTATAATGTGATTTCAGAATAAGTTTACATTGAAAATTATTGTTGTATAATAATTAATATATCTCCAAATTTTTACCATTGGGTAAAATCTACATAATTGTCGACCTATTTCTTAAAACTTAGTAGCCCTTTTTCTCTTTATTTTGTTTCATGATAAACTGTGATTTATTCAGAAAAGATTTATTATAATGCAATTTTTTTTGGTAAATTATGTTTAATATTATTGTTAGTGTAGTTGCTTTCATTTATGGATTATATCGCCTGTAATCCTTATGTGACTTTATGTGGATAATTTAATGATATTTATATAGGTAGATATCATTTTGTTTGACAATGGCAATGTATTTGTACTATGTTATAAGTGTATTTATTGCTTTGTACACAGGAGATAGTATGATAAAATAAAACTTTTACGCAATATGTATAACACCAACTGTAAGGTACACACTAATGATTAATTTATGGGATATCGTTAGCATTATTTTTCTCAAATTGCTTATGGAGTGAAACTTTGTCTTTTCTATACTGTAATTACTGTAAATACTTTCACAAAGACGGTACCTAAGAGTAATTTGAACACCAAAGTATTTGTAGAAAATGTAGTATGCAATGGTCATACCATTATACATATATATAAACTACAATAATTTATTTAAAAAAGCAGTTGTAAAAAAATTGCATTAAAAGTTTTATATATATATATATATATATATCTATGGTTTTTATTAATATTATTTATTTTAACATAAATTTTACCAAAATTTTCATGTTAATTATGATCTAATATGGTAGAAAGATGAGTGCTCATGATGTCCCCCATTTTGAACACACATTGCTCATTATATGAATATGACCTGAATGCATAAAAAATAGGACACAATAATTTTCGAACACCAGTTGTCTTGTGTTCTACTAACAAATGGCCAAGGACACTATTTTGTATAAAAAAATCTACTGTAAAGACATTCTCTTTTATAGTTTATTATTAGAAAATTACATCCATGTCAAGAAACCATTAATGTGTTAAAGGTAAATTTATGGGTACGGAGCGGTAAAGAAGGTGTATATGAAGTTATAAACATTGTAAAATTCCTTGGCAAGTGATACTTTGAAATATAACGAGATACACGAACAAAATAAATTTTAAACATTCTATACGTTTTTTGTTTATACCTTTGCATATTTATTACTGAAAGATTTAGAACAATAATGTTTTTATGCTATGTTTTATGAACATTTTTTGTTATTATATGTCCTAGGTACATTTTGAAATTTAATTATATTTAATTTCGTAATATAATTATATTCTCGTAATATGGGTAAAATTTTATACACTTCTAGATAATAACGAATTTTTTTCAAAACAAATAGGACATAAAAAACTAAGAATGCATTCAAACATAATTTTATTTATTTATTATCCTATCATATTTAGGGCCACAGAGAAAATATATTTATACATAAGTATAATATACAAATTAGAATAAGGTTTATCTATTACAGGCAAATTATCAGTATTTCTATTTAATTACAAGTGAAAGCTTTTTTATTTATATATGTATATTACTTTGCAAATATTAAATAAGACAGATACTACTTACATTTTATTAAAGATCTTACAAGGTTAATTTGTGCCTGCCATATGTTTAATATTAAACATTCAAAGATGCTTATGATTAAATTTTACATTTCTAAGTACAATACTACCCCAATTAAGGAATAGCAGTACTTATAGTGACTTATTATTTTGTTATATTTAAATCATTGCTTAAAGAAATTTATGTTTATTTGATAATCTGCTATAATCTAGTCATATTTAGTTTATTAAATACAAAGGAATTTCACATCATAGCAAAATCTTTTTATCAATTTTATAAACTTTAATATTCTTGAAAAGCAATAAGTACAGTTGATTAAAATGAAGGAAATTAAAATTGATTTAACATTGCAAATGAATTGCAAGGAGAAAGCTTGTGTTTATACACAAATTTGCAAGTCATTCATGATTTGTTAATTAACTAATCTTTTTATTTTGTAATAATTTCAAAATATTACAAATTGTTAAATTTCTGTTGAATTCAATGCACAAAGATACATCTTGCTAAAAAGTTGTTTCTAGATGCACTGTAGATAGCTCTATTGCAAATATGTATAACACATTTCCACATTAAATGGGTGTTATCACCTTAGGAATGTTATCATCTTAGGAATGTTTTCAATTGGAAGATATATAGGTTAATATAGTAAAAGCATATGTACATTGAAGTAATATTAAATTAAAAAAAAATTATGCTGTATGTTTATGTTAATTTATGAAATAAAATTATACGGAAGTTAACGAAGTCCCAGCAAAAGTGGGTAGAAATGTATAAACACAAGTTTCTCAGATTCTACATAAATTTATTTATATCGTCACATAGAATATTAAATAATAGAGAGAGAACTGAAAATTTGATAAATGATTGATAATACAAAACAGAATATAAAACACCGAAATTTTTTCAATAAATAATAATATTACAGATATTAAAGATGAGAAAGACAGTTAGCGATAAAAAAATACAAAGTTTGTACTTTCCCTTGACAAAACTTTTACTTTAGAGATCAGTAAATAACTTCATTTTAAATTTAGAAAAATGATTTTTAATAAAGTTATCTTTATTGTTAGATCAAGTATACTCGATAAAAGGGTTTGTTCAATCATTCCAACAGAAACATATTAATAATTAAAATAATCAAAACATCCGTAATTATTTTAGAAGTAACATTATTTTGTAGTAGTCAGTCTGTAGCTTTAAAAATATTCTGTCTACTGCAATATGTTTATATATATATATATATTGATATTTTCTTGTCTTTCATTATGAAGGTAACATATATTAAATTCAGTATTGTTTGCATATAAAAAATTGTTTTATGCCCTTAATTTCTTTTTATTATTATAGCATTCTACAAATTAAAGAACAAATAAAAAAATGTACAATATATATACGAGATATTTAGCATCTCCTGATGTCAAATAAATTTGAAAGTAAATTTTTTGTTTTTAATGAAATAATACAATATACATATCATCATATGATTAATTTATTATGAACCAAACTCTATAAAATTGTTACATGTTTACCAATCATTTATAGCAATATTTATTGTCTTATTTATTATATTTATATTAGTTACATTGTCATTTCATTACTTCCTTTTTTCTTCTTAACTAATCACATGAAAAAATGATTTTATAATCACTTTATGTTTTTGTTCGATGAATCAGGAGACTCTAAATATTAGATCTAAATTAAATTGTAAATTAAAAAAATGTAATAGCACCAAATATAATCTTACGAAACAGCTATGGAATAAATTATAAGTAACATAAGTCGTAAAAAAAATCTACAAAATTATCCTGATTTTGATAATGGTGGTTTACTGTTGATATCAGGGTCGATTAAAGGCTATTATTTGACATCAAATATTTGTACATCAAATAAAAAATAATGTAAAAAGATTGTTTTTTTTTCGTTAAAAATTTTGCAATCAAGATCAATGTTTGTTATATTTAAAATCAAAGCTTTTATGTCTGTATAAGACATAAATTGTTACAATGATTAATCCTTTATCTTGTGTTTCTACTCTAAGTACAATAGTTGTAAAAGAATATAATGTACACTTTAAAAATATTACACTACAATATTACACTGTAATGTAATTAACATATGCTGTAATAGCAATAGTATTGCACTATAGTATATACTGTATGTACATACATGCAGTATAACCACATATGTAATAAATTACTGTACAATGCTATAGCATACACCATATGTAGTATACATATAGTGTAATTACGATAATTTCACAAGACATAGATTATATGTTTTGTATGTATCTGCTGCATTTAAGTGTACTTTAGTAGTATTAATTTTTAAGATATCAAAATGAAAAATAAAAGCTGCAGAATTCACATATTTCTTTAACGATTAAAGCTTTCATAGACAACTATTGTCAATTATTATGAACATAAATAAATATGTACTATAACTTTTGCATCCAATAAAAATGTGACTAATGCTCACATGAGATCTCATAAGAGTGTACGCAACAAGATAAACGGATACTTTTTACAATATCACAAACATTACTCAAAGTATTCTCTAAATGAAAGTTAAAGCTATACATCGACATAATGAATGTATATCTTTAAACTTAGTCAGATAGAAAGTAATTAATAATTTACAATGTGTACAACTCAATGATCTTGTTGAATGAACCATGGTGATAGTTTCTATATGCGATGTGAGAAAATCAAATGAAACGTGAACTTTAAATGATAGGAACTTATGAATTGCCCCCTTAACTCTCAACATATAATTTGTACATTATTTTTGCAGTTTACGCGTAACGAACGCTAACAATTTTCTGGTTATTCTGAAACTACGATAAAAAAAATTTTGCAAAATGATAACGAAGTATCAATTTCAATGCTGAAACTAAAACAAAATGCACCTAGATTACATATAGTTATCACATAGTAGCAACATGCCTGCTACGAATCGGCGGCAATAATTTCATTTAGCTATAAATAAAATTATCAAGCTATCTGAGCAGATCTTCGCGATCACGCGAATATGAACTAAAATTCCTTTTTAAAATAAAGTAGTTACGTATTGTGCGGTCGGCCTGTTGAAGTTAAGGTCCTCGCTGATCGTGGTATTAGCGTCGATGTCGCAGGTTTTCTAGCCGTCGGAATACACGATTTCACGGGATTCTCTTCCCTTTTTATGTCATGTTGTTCCTTGTCGTTCGATTCGGTGGACTTGGTATCTTTCGGTTTGATAGTTTTCTTGTTCGAAGGGCTTTCTGCCGGCAATTTATCCGTATGTCCATTTTGACGATGCGAAGTTTCCTCTTGACGACATTTTATTGTACGTGGTATACGATCGGTCGACTTACGTGGGCTTCTGTTACCGTTAAGCTCTCCGAGCAATGGAGGACGCTGTCTATCCCCAGAATCACTCCATCTGCAAGTAAAACGATCAATTTCAGCGATATTTACATATTTTCATATTAATTTGTCAGATTGATGCAGAAAATTCCTATGACCACATATGCAATTGTAATATTTTTCGTGCACGAGTGCATATACGTTTATAACCTGTATATACGTATATGTATAAGGCATATACGTATTTGTTGCGGCTACCAGTGTTTCTCTTGCAAGTAACAGATTTGTGAGAGAAATATAAAAAGACAAAATTCGTTATTCTTTTTATACATAATAGCAGATTCATACATAATTATTATTCATTATCTTAACGTTGTAACAGAAACGTATACGAATTTTTGCAACAATTTGGTCTTTTCATCTCATGATACAATTGCTAACGAATTTTATACTTTTTCTTTTTACAAAAAGTAAACTTTTGAAAACCATATTTATTTGCATCTTCGATAATTTTTATTCGACGAATAGATCGAGTGTTAAACGTGTTAAAAGAAAATGATTCGAAATTATATGTGAAGATGAAACTCACCCCACACAGCTATCAAACGCAGCATGAAACATTATTAATTGTAAATCTATTATAATCTCAAAAGAGTATTTTAAGAAAATGAATAATGAGTAATTTTCAACTGATCATATATATTTATCTATTTGTATTACATGCTAGGAGAGTTAGTATGCCATGAATGTTAGAACAATATTACACAGATACTCTGAAAGCAAATTACACATTTTATACGATGTACCATTAAAGTTGCATTTCGAACTGTTGAAACATTAAAATTTGTTAGTTAAAGTACTTCGAACTTTGCGTTCAGACAGGGCTTGCAATCGAATCAAATTATCAGTATGTGTTCCTTCTAATTATTAATATAAGTAAAAATTTACAGATCAACGTTATTTTGATTTAAAGAAGTATCCAAGAGACTATTGTCTTCCATTTCTTAAACGATGAAACGCACGAAGGTTATACATTACATGCGCAAACCTATGCATATTATTTTTGTTTCTTGTTTTATAAAAAAGAAATATATACTTTTTGCTGATATCTGTTACTAAAAATTCACAAGTAAATGTAACATTATTTTTCAATATTAATTTCTATTTATTCGTTCAACTTGCACTGATATATTCATTAACAAAAATTATTCTAACCTAAATAAAACACTTTCACCGATTAGACTATCGATATCGACAGAAAAATATACGTGTACCACTTACGATCGAATACTACAATAGAGTCGTTCGCCATAAAATTAAAACCGAACTTTAAAACACAAATTTTACAATGATCTGCAAGATAAACGTTAATCGATGAGCCTTTCAGGTTCGATGAATCTTTTCGAAATGCATCATCGATAATAGCATGGAGATTCGGTCACAAACCCTGTGACGCAAGACAAAATGTTACCAAACGCAGTCGAACGTTGTTTTATATTAGTTTGCGTTTGTAGTAGGTATCCAAAATACATAATCGAATAGAAGTAGCACGAAACGAAAGTAAAAGCAAAAGATTATTATCACACTTGTGCATGCAAAAGGAACGAGAGAAGTGTTAGAATTGAATGATCAAACAAGTGATCCTAATGTAAAAAAGATGCACGAATATAAGGGCGTTTAATGCAGAGAGTAGCAAATATCCCAATATTAAGTCACATAAACTGACCGACTCTACCTTCCCGATCCTGAAGCTGTCTCACATGGAATCATCGGAGAAGGGTAATGACCAGAGCAGCAAAAACAACATGTTATTTATCACAAACTTCGTGACGTCACATGTGAAAAGTATTTATGATATTTGCATATGCTGTAAACTTATCTACGTACATATGTATGTCTAATTTCTCACTGTAAATAATGTTTAAATGTATAAATGTACTTTTTTTATTTTCCAGAAGATTCGTTTTTACACTTCTCATTTTGCTTATTTATATACAGGGTGGTTGGTAACTGGCGGTACAAGCGCAAAGGGGGTGATTCTACGCGAAAAAAGAAGTCGAAAATATAGAATAAAACAATTTTTTTTTAATTTTTTTTTAAATTTGTCCATCGAGAAAACGATCTACAGTGAGATCCGTTATAACGAGACGCGATGAAGTGCACGCGTACCGAGCCAAAATTCAAAGTCGATTTTCTCGAAAACAAAGCCTCGAACGAAAAATTTTTATTCTATATTTTCGACTTCTTTTTTCGCGTAGAATCATCCCCTTTGCGCTTGTACCGCCAGTTACCAACCACCCTGTATATAAATAAGCAAAATGAGAAGTGTAAAAACGAATCTTCTGGAAAATGAAGTCTCGTACAAAAGTATTTCATTTCGCGTTTTAGACGTATTTTTCTACCTGCGATCGCTATGTTCCTAGTTGTACCATAATCGTTGTTGCGTTTCATAAGAACATGATTTCTTTCGTTTATCGTATTACACGCGTCGTCGTGTCTCGTGTGAAAAAGAATGTATAATGTACGAATCTTTTCATCCAAAATATCTAATGACTCTGCTTTCTTTCTAACAACATTCCGTACGATACAATCTGTATACATATACAGTTTGTATTTTTGTCGAAAAAAGTTGAGGAAAGACTTTGTGAGCTTTTTAGATACAGTACTCGGTGGAAACGAGCAAAAAGATCTTGATAAACATGGGTCGAAGAAGCATTTGTTTCGCAGTTACGAAGCTTTTTTGTCGGTAAGACATTACCTCTACGACATATGTTCAATACGCTCTCCGATCATTTCGACACGTTTTCTCATAGAAGCACAAGCACGTCGGTCCTCGGCGTTTGTTTTATCTCTTGGCAGGATTTCTCTATTCATAGTATTGATTCGTTCAACGAAGCAACTGGTTTACCCTATACGCTGTACTCCTATGCACCAGACAAGTACTTTTACGCGCAACTGTGAAGGTAAATGATTTTCGAACCCACGTTTATTACGATTTTTTAATGGGTGTGGAAATAAGTTCTTTCCGACAGACTTCTCGCTGGTTATACAGAAATTTTGTACACAAAAAGACAGAGAAGAATAAAAATCTCTACGGCTGATAATAACACAGAGAATATCTTTTTGCTTAGTTCGATGAGCACTACGTGTCGTCAAAGTTCTTCCGCAATCCTTTTTACACACCCTGTATATGTCTGTGTTCATTAAAACATTGTTTCGATGCCAATGCATGTGTACACAGCTACTTGTAATTAATTCTCGTCAATGGACGGTTTTACTACTTTAGTCTTCCATCTAACACGACTGATTTGGAACAAATTTATAGAGGTATCTATGCGATTAACAAGAGATAACGTACTATTATCTTAAATCTCCTAATTTATGTATTCTGTACGGGGGGGAAAAGACATGGGGAAAATCCGTAGGAACTTAAAACGTACCGTGATGTTATCTTTCGGTGAGAAATATCGATTACGACTCTTATAATTGCGTTTTACATTTTATTTCATTTAACTTTCTCTCAGTCGTTCTTCTATCGATACACTTTCCATTAAGATGGTTCAATTTGGAAAATTAAGTTTCCCAAGGTTTTTCCGGCAAGTCGCTTTTAACGATGAAAGATGAAGATGAAGAGAAAAAAAAGACTCTCACCTAACTAGAGGTCCCATAACATCTTCCTGTGGGAGTGTTTGCAGGAGTGATGATCCTGCTGACACTGGACGTGTCTGTTTCGACAATTAGACACATAATAAATAAGTAAATAAATAAATAATATATCGGCAAACGACATAACAAATAGTAATGTAACGGTATCGTGTGAGAAATAAATATCAATAATTGCCGCAAAAACTATAATTATAATAATAGCAATAATATCTGCAATGCCCAATCCGCCGTGTCCAGGGAGATAGGTAATAATAAAATAATAATATTAGAAACACGTAATATCGTCTATATATGTGTGTGGTTTAAACTATTTGGACACACTCAATTATTCATTTTACGGATACATGGATTTGACACGGATGGGTGTAGTAAATTGAAAATGAAAACTTGTACGTGTGAGCACGTTAATCCTTTCATTCTCACGGTTAACATATGGCTGTATATTTAGAATTAAGAAATAAAATTATCGTCAGTATAAACTTTTAAGCTATAAATTTACCGGGTATAAATTTTATCATTTTTTATCTAATACATTAGATTCCATCGAAATACATATTTCCTCGTCATCGTGTAACAGCAATCAGAAAATACATAAAAACGCGCTTATTTTATTTCTCCCATATGTGATCTTCCTTTGTAAACAATTGCCACCCGATTATTTGTCGCGTCGCTTAATACAAGTTGAGAATGAAAGGATTAAACGCATGTAGTATGAATAACGATTATGTTAGATGAATGATGTCGTAAGGTCGAAACGATATTTCTATTATTGAGTTGGCAACTAAGCGATTGCGGATTTTTTCATTAGGTGGTATTGACAAAATCTGCAATCACTTAGTTGCCAAACCCAATATATTGGTATTTTGATCGTTTTTGATTATAATATGTGAGACATCTTAGGTATGTACAGTATATCATCTGGAATAATTCTAAACATATCTTAATCATAACTTCGATGAAAAATCTGTAATTTTCAAGAAACGGAGGAAACGATTCTCGGGAGACACTGACAGCCTTACACGAATAAAATATAAAATTTGAACGTACGTTGCATAGAAAATTCGATATTTCCACGTTTCAATTGAATCATTTCTAACCCGGCATCGATACAAGTAAAATAACGACGTTGAAACGCGTAATCAGAATCTGCTAGAAGTTGGCTGATTCGAGTTTTATAAAACAAACAGCGCGTTTTTCGATGAACGATGCTAGCAATGACAAGTGAAGTGTGTGCAACTTAAAAACAATTATGCCGAACTTTTATTTACAAAAACTAAACAATTCATAACTAACGTGAACTATATAAATATACGTAAGATATCAACATTGTAAAACGTCCAGCAAAAAGTGCACAATAAAGACTGTTGTGTCAATGGTTGGTTTACTATCCTCGAAAAGAAACCGCATTTCAACGTTCCTATGTGTGCTTTTGACACGTAAAGCAAAAGCTAATACTTGTTCTGTGATCATCGAAATACTTCGACCAAATATCTCTAGAACAAAAATGAACATCGGTGAGATGCAGATTGCCAGACGGTTAACGTCTTCGCTCTAAATTTTCGTGTTAAAGATGTAATGCTATGGGGAACAGTGAATTTTAAACGTACCTTCTCTGTTTGCGTCGCTGCGTTGCACGTATTCGGGGAAGAAAGATTTTTGTGATTACTGGTTAAAGCGCATGTTTGACCATCGCCATTAGGCCCTTGAAGTTTCGATATTTGGAACTAAAAAATTCAAAGTTTCGTCAACATTTTTATACAAACTTAGGCAACTTTTTGGCGAAGAATTGCAAGTCGAATTACGAAGCTTTATTACAAGGTTCCTACAAGTTTGTACAGACATAGACGTTTCGATACAAAGATATTACTCCTTTACAAACAATCTTTCTATAAATTAGAAAATCTGTTTTATATTATTTCTCATTTTTTTTTTTTTTTGGGGGGGTTTTTTACCTGTAGCATTTGTATCGTTCGATCTCTATCCTCAATTTGGCCTTGCAGAAAGACAACCTGCCTACGTAAATCGGCCAATTCATCCGCGATACTGCTACCACCACTACCCGGAGAGGTACTCACATCCGCGGTACCAACTTCGTTCAGGTTGTAGAAGAGACCATTCTGAAATTTGCCAAATTTGCATACATTGCATCACTTTATAACGACGACAACGTGATATTCCTAGCCGCTGAAGATTCTAGTCTAGTGTTGCGAAGTTTTCAAGTCAAAGATACAGAGTGGAAATTATATTTCCATGCAACTTACACGATTGTTTTCAGCTTCCTTTCAGATTATTATTTTTCTTTTTTTTTTTGGAAATACACCGAAGGTGAATTACTGCGATCAGACGTTCTACTTTTCGTACTTTCGAATTTTAAAACGTCAATGCCGAAGAAGCTAGCAACGAAATTTAGAGGATTTTAGATTCAGCGGATTCTTTAGGAGTATCGTTGCTTCTTTTCTGCGGTTTTCAGGAGTTGCTCTCTGTATCTTTGAAGCCTTCGAACAAGATATTGAGAGAGAAAGTCGGACCACGCTGTACACTCGTGTCTTTGTTTCTGAATGTCGGTTCGTGGCATTAATTTGTACCATACGAGGCGTGTTAAGGCAATAATCGTACAAAAATGAAGGAATTCTTACTCGCGCGTGTATACCTTAGAAAACGAATTAATCAATTTGCCCAGCTAACCGGAATATCGATTCTGACTGACGCGCTATTGCTCTCAATATCTCGGATATCGATATTTTTCGTAAATGCATATTTTCCATATTCGATATTAAATTTGCAAATTGGCTAAAAATTTGCTAAAAAAGAGATTTCGAATAAACGTAAACAGATATTTATTGAAAATAAAACTGACCTTCATAGCATTATCGAATGGGTTGAGAGTTTCTGCCTGTAAACATAACGCAAAGCATTGTACGGCTATTTAGCATCTTACAATTGGACAAAAATTATAACAACGATAAATACAACGATGGAACAATACGATTGCGATAAGTAAAATTATATAAGAAAAAAAAAAAAAGAAAAATAAAGAAAGATTATAACAGTAGTAAAAAAGGAATAACACGATAGTAGAAACTCGATATAAGAGCAAAAGTAACATTTAAAATAATATGTGCAATAAAGAAAACAACGTACCCTCGTCAAACCGTTCTCTTCTGACTTGAAGGTAAAATCATGGTTGATGAGAATAATGAAAAACATAAAAAAATGCGTGTTAATACAAAAGCACATCGATATACGTATGTGTGTAGGACTTAAAAATGCAAAAAAAAAGAAAGCGTTTTATCGTCGATCGCTTGAATTTAATGTTTATTCAATATACCTCCTGTAGTACCCGTTTTAATTTCAGGAGCATTGTTTTTATTGAACCAATGTCTTGAAACATGTGTTGATAGGTATCGCGATCAACTCGCAGACTCCCTTCATCTCCGGAGTCGAGACTCGGTGATTGGATCTGAAACGAGATATCACACAGGTTTATTATACGTACAGTGTCTACGAAAAGCTATTTATTTGTCTATTATTTATTATCTATTTATTTACTTATTCTCCATCTATACACAGTATGTGTTCGTAGGGTGTGTTTGTATAATATGAAAAATATAAAAAATATTTATACACCACTGGATTTAATATCGCGATTATATTCGAATCGATTCGATCCAATTGTAATAAATTTTGTGCCATTTAGTTCGAGTAGAACGACAAGTTGAGTTTTATGTAAAATATAATACGCGTCTACTCGAGACATTAAGAATAATATAAAATTTGAATATTACCTGTGTAGACTTCGTTATTTATTTTATCATTTATCGCGCAAAGAATTGCGAATAAATAAAACGTACGCTTCTATTAGCCGTGACAAATCTTCTGATATATTTGACAAACAGTTAATTCGATTCGAAAATACCAGTCCATAACAGATGAATAATCTTTCGAACACCGTGGTGTCCAAATATTTAACAATAGTCGGTCGAACATCTTTTGAACGACGATTATAACGTGGTAAGAAAAATAAAGAACCAGCGAAAGATAATAAAAAGACAGATCGTGTGAAGAGGGACTTACGTTTCTCGATATTCTTAAAGGACTGGAGAATTGACGATTACGTGTACTATCTATGGAACGTGGTGAATCGGTGACGGATTTATTTCGCCAAACCTTTGTCGTCTTGTCGCAGTCGGTCCTGGAACAAACACGCGTACAAGAACGTTATAATTTCGAAGTAACGCATTTCACAGATTTTCTTACACGGTACGATGTTCGATCGAAACCGACCATACTTTTGGCTTGTACTTTTAACGAACGATCCAAAGCATGCGTCATTTCCAACGAATATCTCGAAAAAGAGATAATTATCCTCGAAGAATTCCCCCTCTTAAATCGAACATTTCCTCGTGCGTTATCTCTCAAACACGCGAATCTTTGGCCATTAAAAAACTTTTCTTATCGTTCGCTATCGATCTTATTTATTTTGCATATTCTTTCTCGCGAACGTAACTCTCGCTCGTAGCGTTATTTCCAAGGACAAACGAACTCCTTCGCTTTGCGAATGGTCGTATCGATTCGTGGAGAACCGATCGGTTCGTAAAGACGTATGTATCAAACTATGTTCAATTTCAATCAAAAAGGTTGATCGTATTTACTGCTAGTCGACCGCGAAAACCTCCGTACGAACGAACAATCGACCAACGTTCTGAGAAACGAAGCTACCTTCCAATTTGGCTCGTAGCACGTGGTTTCAGCAAAGAGGCGGCAATGTTAATAGGATTGCTCGTAGCTCTTCGTTGCCTTGGCACCGGCGATCCTACGGTCGGCGTCGAACACTCGGACGACAAACCAGAATCGCGACCATCCTCGCCGTTTCGACTCGACGCGAGTCCATTCTCGTCCTCAACGTTCGCACTTGCACTCGCGACTCGAGGCCTTCCGGTTAAAACCGTTCGTTTCTTCGCACCTTTCGATGATTCCGACGTCGACGATGCCATTGCACTCGACTATCAACTTCGAGCCACCGTTAGAATCCTCGTTTCCCATCGATCTCGGTTTTCTAATTATTTTTTATTATTTTCTCGAGACGGCACCTCGGGACGGATCGGCGAACGCTTCATAGGCTTTAGGAATCTAGCGGGCTTTAATTTAAACGGAATTTAATCCAGGCGAATTACAAGTCGTTCTTCCTTCGTACGAGATTTCTACGACTTCGTAATTTTACATCAAATCGCTTGGCTCGTAATTCGCAGAATTCGCTTCGACTTTACTCGTTTTATCGTCGAACTTGTTATTCTCTAGGATGTAGTTAAAATCAAGCGACGACGAGTATACGCAGGGCGAATAACTTGTGTTATATATTTCACGAAAAAGGTAAATCAAACCGAGCAAGAGTCACGTTTCTATTCGACAAAAAAGAAAAATTTACGATACGGTTGAAAAAGTGAGGGTACCGTTATTAAAAATGTAAAAATTGCCAGAGAATGATAAAAATAAAGTACGCGAAACGATCTGGGGAAATAGACTATATACGTAGTAAGGTACACAATCGGAGAAAATAACTCAATTTATAAAAAGCGATACGTTGTACGGAGTATAAACACGAAAGAGAATAATCGAACGATTTGAAACTGGTTTTTATAAAATACGTAATCGGTTTATTGGAAGTATAAAGGAAACGTATCACTAAATGTCATTTATATCACTTTTCACTAAAATTTACAGTTTCTATAGTAAATGGAAATTTATTTTGGATTGACGTGTATACAGTTAACGACACTGGTAATTCGTGACACACACGATATCCGAGTTATGATATTTCAACGACGCGAATATCAGTCGGTCATTTGTTTCCCATCGGTTCGATACGGAGCTTCTTAAACATCGTGGGTGACACTGACGGAATTGTGGAGAAACTATACGAAAACATTTGCAACTACCACGTCAGCAGCGAAACGAGGAAGACCATTCGTCGTTAAAGGATCGTGAAAAATTCACTGAGTTGTTAATCGCCGCAGGGATAAACGGTGTTTTATTTAAGCCGATGAGCTTTTCAAAGAATCGTTTAGATTTTGCAGCAATTTCTAAGATCTTCTTAAACACGCTTGTGACATTTTACGCATTTTAAAAGGAAGACAAAGTCTCTGACGTCGTTCTTTTCGCATCATTCGTTGCTTTTTCTCGAGTTATCCATATAAGAATTTTAATGCCGCCTTCGTAGGATGTTTCAAGGTCATCTTAAGATGAAATATATAAAAACGCAGTGTGTATCCTTCGATAGCGTACAATTTCTGGTTGAAACGTTTTCTTTCGTATTATCCGTATTTTTCCAGATATTCGAGCATTTTACAAGGAAGATAGAAGAAAAATGCGGAAGGAAGAATTAGTATCTATTAATTTTCTCTGCCAGTATTTCAAACTATAATACAAGTAATGTTATTAAAATTAACGAATCTATACGTAACGATACGCTTGACCGAATAACTGTAGCCTACTGCCATTTAAGAATTCATTGAACTGACCTTTCACGGGTAACCTTTGCCTGTGTTTTGAATTTTTGTAGGTAAAATTGCGTGACTACGATGTATAACGTGGGCTAAACTGTTAATTATACCAATAGCGGCGTGTGTTGCCACGTGTCATATTGCGGTGTAATAAGAAATTTCTTTAGGTCGCCAAATCTATGTGGTCGAATCGCAGCGGAGTTTTCCTCGCGAATAGCATTTTTCTCGTAACTGCCTAACGGATTTTAATCGTGTTCTATGCTTTTTACGAGATGCTGAATTCGAGATTTTCCTTGACGTTTGTTCTCAGAGCTTGCAGCCTTATTTGCATACTTTTAGACGCGAGACCCCTGTCATTAGAAACTATTGAAAAAGTTAATTATCTTCGATCCACAGAACGATAAGACGAAACAGAACTATCGTTCGTTTATTACGCGAAATACCAAGCTATCAGCGAACGTATCGATCGATATATAAATGTACAGGTTTGCGGAAAAGAAAATGAATTAAAAATCTCATCCGAAGAGATTCGATTTTACTCTGGCGTCTAGAAATTTTTCGTATAATCTTCTTCCACGAAATTAATTAAAATTGATGCCATCGACGAACATTAAACATTGCCTTCGCCTCGATAAATCTCATCTATAATTTTCTTTTGTAAAATTCACTCTCGAACGATATCCCTCGCTTTCGTTCTCTTTTCATGCTCTTTTCCACGACATATTGGACGTCGAATGGCAACATGAAAACATCTATTTCCTTTGAAACAGCCATTCGATTAGTCCATATAGAGGTCATTGATTTTCAAACTACTACTACTACATCGCTGTACATGACGTATCGCGAAGCAGTAACTTTTAGAACGTGGAAACACGGTATCCATAATACGTAGAAATTTCGTGGGTAAAAATTATTCTTTGAACGCCTTCGAACGAAGATACCGAACTGCCACGTACCTCTTTCTTTCTGCCACGAACTTTCTTAATTGAGCACAGTTACTTGTTCATTGAGATTTTTCCAGAGGTCTGCGCGCTTAACTGCTCCATAGATCGCAACGAACGAGAAAGCGAGTGTCTTTCGAAAGAATTCCATGCAACGTAGCGCATTTGCAACGACAGAACGTATTTCCTCGCGTATTCGCGCTTTAATTAAAACACGGTTATTATCTCGTCATCGGACCCACGCGAGAATCTTTTCATTTCCGTGGATAATTTTACAAATACGAAGTTACCGTAATTTCAACGAATCGTCGTTGCTTTCGGAGTTTCAACTTTTCTTCGAAAGTGTCATCGTAGAGAAATATAATGTTCATTTATTTCAGAGATTCGAATTAATCGATGGAGGATACAGGTTCTAAGAGCGTTATGAACGTTGGGGGAAAAACCTTCCACCGCCGGAGCATCCTCTGACCTGTCCTTGGTTACTATTTGCTACGTAAACGTAACTGACGTTGTTAACGCTAATTTTAAATGCTTCTTCTTGTTACTTTAGTCGCAGGCTAAACGACTTTCTATCCTCCGCAAGCGATAACGTTAAGCGATTAATGTCGATAACCGGATAACTTTGAATCAACGAATTTAACAAACACGCCGTTATTGGTTGATTTCAACGATATTCCATGGACTATGTTTTAGTAAAGGAAAATCTTGTTCGATTTACACCTGACGGAGATAATCGTATTTTTCATATTGTAAAATCCGTTTCAATTATCCGTATAATTATATATTAATTTATTAATAAGGTTCAAACGTATAGAAGCGTCAAGCGCTAGAAACAAGTTCGCTTAAGTTGTATCGATCGTGTTGATTTTAATTAACGTTTGTCTTAATTATTAACATAGAAATATATTGATGTTTCTTGATAAGTAACGATCTACGGTCATTTGAGTATCTGCCTCGTATATTAATTGATGAAAACAACAATTTCTTTTAATCTGTCTCGTTTGACGCATAAGCAATCGATATACGATAACGAGCGAAAACAAATCGTAATATACGAACAATTTCTGACGTTAATTCCCGCGAATAATATAAAACACGGTCGAATATAATAAATCGATCATTTAATGATCCTCCTTAATTAACTCGCGATCTTATCCCTTTGTTAAAGATCCCCGATACGATAATTACGTACCGATTACTTCAAAGCTGAAAGAATATAAACGAACGAAGAACAACAAAGCGTCGTATCGTACGTACAACATACCTTCGGCAGTTCTGGATCGTCTAACTGAGAAACAGACTTATAGAAAAAAGTACAGAAAACTGTGGCTCCTTATTCCGCATACGATTCGCGTTTACGTATTACATGTTACAAAACCGTTATCTCGTTTAGCCTCGTCGCAAACGCGATTGCGCGTTTACCCTATAACCACGTAAGAAATTAAAAAAAAAAAAAAAGAAGAAGAGAAGGAAGAGAAAGAAACCCGAGCGATCAACAACATTTTATCGAGCTACGTAAACGATCTCCGTTTTATCTACTTCTTATCCGTTGGACAAAAGCCGGTCGAGCCAGCGAATGTGGAACACAGATCGAAATAAGAAGGGTGAGTGGGAAGTGGTGGGCAACAGGAAGGGGCGGTAGATCCATCACAAGTTATCGGTGTCACGAAGAAGGCTGTCGTCGGACGAACACGAAACATGGGCTCGCGTCACGAACACACAGTCCGGTCACAGATTTAAATAATTCATTA